GAAGACCTCCATCTCTGCCTTTGTCACTCTTTCTCTGCTCCTCTTCCCTTGCAACTGCCTCTCATATGAATAAGTAAACCTAAAAAAAAAAAAAAAAGCTCTCCAGATCTTAAAAATTTTGTTAAAAAATCATGGTCTTTGTGGTGGGCATTGTGGCATCATGACAGGGAGTGCTGGTTTTCTAAGCTCCAGCAGCTCCACTTCTGGTCCAGCTTCCTTCTAACATGCCTGGGAAGCAGCAGATGATATATCAAGTGTTTGATTTCCTACTACCAACATGGGAGACTCGAATGGAGCCTGTGATTCGAGGCTGCGGCCTGGCCCAGTCCTGGTTAGTGTGTGCATTTGGGGTATGAACCAATACATCAAAGGGACATGTTTCTCTGCCAATACACCATACTTTTGCTTTTCAAATAAATAAACAATGAATAAACCTTTTAAAATAACTTTATTGATCAAGGGAGAAGAGTGTAAATAAACCACACCTCCAGGCATGAGCAGCTCATAGAACTATTGCTTGTGACAAAGAATGGTTTTTACAATTTCAGGTTGTTGAAAAAACTTAAAGAGTAATTTTTCATGACAATGTAAATTGAAATAAGATTCAAACAGCAGTGTCCATAAATAAAAGTCTGTGGGGACACAGTCATGCTCATTTGGGTACATTTTGTCTATGGCTAGTTTGGGGCTATAGGGTTGAATGGTTGTGATGCAGACCCTGTAACTCTGAAAAAAAATTCTACTTACAATCTGAATGCAAAAATAAAGTCTTTGCTACCTGCTCCTTTACAGAGAAAGTATTCTGATATCTGCTTTGTATACAGGCAGGACTTTCATGTCCTATTACTTATGATTATGGAGATCTGAAGAAAGTATCTAGAATAATAACATTTTATTTGTAGATATTTAAGTTATTTAGAAAAAGGTAACGAGTCATCTTTTACATTTTATAATTTTTCATTTTTAAGGAACTTAATATGATTATCTTATTTGTAAAAGTGCGTTATTTATATTCATTTGAAAGGCACAAGGATACACAAAAAGACACAGTATGTGTGAGAGAAAATTGTCCATTGATTGGTACACTCCCAAATGCTTCTGACAGCCAGGGCTAGGCCTGGCAGAAGCCTGGAACACAGAACAAAATCTGGGGCCTCCCTCACGGGCAGAACCCAAGAACTTGAGCAGATATTTGCTACCTCCCAAGCTCTACTGGAATCAGGACTTGCCCTAGGGACGTAAACAAGATGCTCCCAAATCGTTATTCCACATAGCTGCACAATCTGAGGCATTTAAAGAATATATGGGCGGGTGCGGTGTGTCATCAGGCTAAAACTGCCGCTTCTAGTGCTGGAATCCCAAATGGGTGCATTTTTGTGTCCTGGCTGTTCTACTTCCCTTCCAGCTCCTTGCTTATGGCCTGGGAAAACATGGAGGATGGCCCAAAGCCTTGGTTACCTGGAGCCCCTGTAGGAGAACTGGAAGAAGTTCCTGGCTCCCAGCTTCCGATTGCTCGTAGCCTTTTGGGAAGTGGATCAGCTGAAGAAACATCTTTCTTTCCTTCTCTTTCTGTCTAAAAATATATTTATTTTTATTGGAAAGTTAGATAAACAGAGAAGAGGGGAGACAGATAGGAAGAGGAAGATCTTTCGTCCGATGATGCTTCACTCCCCAAGCAGCCACAATGGTCCGAGCTGAGCCAATCTGAAGCCAGGAGCCAGGAGCCTCTTCTGGGTCTCCCACACGGGTGCAAGGTTCCAAGGCTTTGGGCTGCCCTTGTCCTCGACTGCTTTCCCAGGGCACAAATAGAGAGCTGGATGGGAAGTGGGGCTGCTGGGATTAGAACCAGTGCGCATATGGGATTCTGGAGGCGAGGACTTTAGCTACTAGGCTACCGCTCTGGGTCCTCTTTCCTTTTCTTTGTAAATTTGCCTTTCCAATAAGAAATAAATGTTAAAACAAAAAGTCTGTTCCAAGTTACCTTCTTTTAGAAAGAATTTTTTCTCTTTTCGGTTTAGACACTGCCCTGATTGCAAACGTTTATACAACTGAAACTAAACGTTCAGAACGTACATTTTGCAAATGCAGTCTGGGACGTACCCTCCCTTTGGTCACAATCTCACCAATCTTTTCTCCACCTCTCACCCCTCTTTTTCACTGTCTTTTCCACTGTTCTTCCACTTTTTGCAGACAGAGGTGAAAGTGATAGACTCAAGAGATATTTGTTTTTCGCTTCACTAAGGCACTTTTCCTTCCTGAACCTTTCTCAGTTCTTTTACTTTCTTCACAGAATTCTCTAGCACTACAAAATACTTAAGGGACGAGGGGAGGAACTTTGCAAAACATGCACAGCCTTCAACGGGTTCGAGGTAATTTGCGAAGTCTTCGAGGGCAATGCCGGTGCCGGATTTTTTTTTTTTTTTTTAACGTTCGGTATTAAGAGATTCACCGATGGTTCCTCAGTCACTGATTGCCCTCCTCCTCCAGCGTGTCCTCCCCTAGTCACCCTCCCTCCGCCCGCCCCTCCTTCCCATCCCGTGGGCAACGTGGAAAACAGAAAATCTTCCCACGGAAACTCCTCCGGGGCGCGCCAAGATCTGGGCGTGCGCACTCGGACACAGCCGGCGCTGCAGCCCCCGCCGTAAGTGCTAGGGGTCTCCAAGCGCAAACACAGCGCGGGATTGCACAAGCTGGCGCGCGCGCGCGCGCGCGTGCGCGCGTCCTGCTTCCCTCCCCCCTTCCAGTCTCCCCCCGCGTCGCCGTCGCCGCCGCGTTCGGCCCCCTACCCTGCAGCAAGGGGAGCGTGACGTAATGCAACCTCAGCATGTCAGCGGCGCTATAAAGGAGAACGGGGCGGCGCGCCTCCCAGACGCAGAGTAGCTTGTGATTGGCTCGGGCTGCGGAACCTCGGAAACCCGAATGTGAGGACCTCACGGTTCCACAGCTGCCGCCCCCCGCTGCAATCCACAGCGCGGTCACAGTCCAACTGGCGGCGGCGGCGGCAGCGGCGGCGGCGGAGGCGGCGGAGGCGGCGGAGGCAGGTAGGAAGGCTCCTGAGCAGAAACTAGAGGGACTTGGGTCCGCCGCGCTCCGCGTCTCCTGTGAAGGGGTGGAGAGGCTCACACCCCGTATGTAGTGCAGGGCGAAGGGAACAATGGAAGTGGCGTCTAGTCTCTAGGCTTTCCTTCCCCTTCAGCCGGACAATTTTTCCTCTTTAGGCATGGCCACGGGGTGGAGGGATTGGGGGAAAAGTAAGTGTGCCCCCCAAGTCGGCGTCTTCTTCCGCTAGACCTAGAGCACGGCGGAGCTACAGCCGTCGTTGAGGCCGTCGGTGGTTTAGGGTGACGGGAAAATGGCGGAAAACAAAACGGTGAAGTGAAGAATGCGGCGTCCCCCTGGCATTTTTTCTTGGCAGCCCCCGACCCCAGTCTTCTTTCGCTTGCACCCCCCCATCTGCCTGGTCTCCACCCCCGCCCCCGCCCCCGCTTGCTCGCTCGCCGGATCGCTCGCTCGCTCGCTCGTTCGCTCACTCACTCGCTAGCCGGCTCGCCGCTAATGGCAACCTTTGGAATACGCGAGGGATGGCGGCGTTGCAAGCAAGTGACACGGATCGGGCATTTTCGGGGATATGCATTCGTGAGAGTCTGGGCGACTCGGGAGGTGGTGGTGGTGGGGGGGGGTGGCCGTGTGCGGCAACTGTCGCCTCCTCTGAAACACCACCATTTTGGTTCCCAGCCGTCTCCATGCAGCGGGTCAGCGGGAGCGGGAGGAGGCGGAGGGGCTGGGCAGCGAGCGTGGGTAGCAGCGGTGGCGACCGCTGCACCAAGTGTGAGGAGGGAGGAGGGGAAAGAGTGTTCTGGGCTCGTCAGGCGCTTCCTTTCCAGTGCGAGGCTTCTCTTGTTCGATTTAAGATCCAGTCAGATGGGTCGCGTCGGAGAGGGCACGTGTGTCTGTTCTGCTCGACATGATTGAAACTTGGCATGGCCGTGGGAAAGGGAGACTTATGCGGGAAGAGGGCTGCGTCCAAAGCTGCAATACTGCTCCTTGCCAGGGCTCCTTTGTCTCCTATCTCCGGAATGCTACTTTCTCCTTCCCTGGCTCTGTCGCCTTAGCGTTTCTCTGCTATCCTTCACTGGGGTCCCGAGTAAGCCGTGTTTGGGAGAGCCAGATGAGAGTAAAAGGGGCTTTTGTGTGTTAGTGTGCGATTTCTGCTCCCCTCTCCGTCGATGGCGAGATGTTTACTTGAAGCGTACTTGTTGGGTTACCTCCATTCAGTAAGGCTGTGACTGAGAGACCTCCCTATTTATTGGTTATTGAAGACTTAACACGCTGCTGTTCTCAGACCTCATTTATTATTGATCTTATTGAAACTCCCTCGATGCGAAAGAGATGCTCCGGTTTGTTTGTTTGGTATTGGTAAAGTGTGGTACTTCTATAACAATTGCACTGTGTGTTGTGATTTTTACACTTCATTGAGTGCTAGAGCAGATTTTTCTGTACGGATTTGGCAAGGATAAAGCTCGTCCTTGGTTCTCTTTCACTTTCCAAGATAAGGTGCTGCTAATTTTAAAAATGTGCGTTAGAGATTGTTTTGATCAAGTGGTCGAATTCAAAGTGTCACGATGCTACTTGCATGATAGTAGGTAGTCCTTTCTATTGTAATCCGTTTGGTTTGGTTGCTTTCTACATGAATGCAAATTTGAACATATGAACCCTTCACAGTATTGCCCTGCAAGTTCAAGTATAAATGAAAGCATTTTTAAACTGTAAGATTTAGTTGATAATGTTTGAAAAATCTAATCATGAATGTGTCTTCATAATAGGTAAAGAGAACGTTTTTCCAAAGAAAATAACATAGGTCAGAAGAGAAATAGAAAGAAATTGCTGATTTTACTTTGAAATATCTAAGGAAATCTACAGTTTCTTCAAGACAGTCATAAAAAGGTGATTAACAAATTACTCAATGTCTTATTTAATAATTAGAACAAAATAAATTGCATTACAATGCTTCTAATTTTTCTCTTGGTTTTGCGATTAAGAAAGAAAAGTCTAAATGTAACTGTTTTAAATATTAAAAATAAGAGTTTAAAACATTTTAATTGTATCTGCAAAAACACAAGTATTTTATTGTGAGCCCCTTGGCCTATTGATCTCATTCTGCAGAACAGCAAGGCATTAAACAAGGTGGTATTTGCAAATGCAGAAAATACAGCTAAGGATTTCTTAAAAATGTAATTCTGGTAATGTATAGATGATTTTGTGTAGAAAATTAGATATGTCACCAACTACCGTAACATATTTATGTACATAACTCAGATGTCGATATGGTTTCCGTGAGAGACTTCTGCCTTCTGTATACTTGCAGAACTTTAAGGCGCAGAAAAAAAAAAAAAAAAAAGAACAACACCTAATGGACTCCCGTGTACTTAAAGAGATGTTTTGTTTTACGTGGCAGCTTTGTAAAACTTTTGTGAAGGATGTAACCTCATCTTTTGTGCAGTATGGCCCCGTATGTTAAAGCTTAGAAAGGGAAAAATGAGATAAATGCCTTAAAAAATTGGCTGGTTTTAGATTGTTTTACTAAGAATTTTATGTTTGAAGGAGGAAGCCACATATACAACTATAAGAAATACATCGAGTGTTAGCATCAGATTTGATATTGCTTATTATCTAATGATCTTATGTGGAGGATACATCCTTTGAAATAATGCAGACTGAACTCTTGTTTTCAAAGCTACTGTGAGGCTAACATGATTTTATTAATCACTGTTAATTGCGCAATTACAAGTAAACAGTAAGTTTAAAAAAAAACCAATTTTCTAAATGTTTGTATGTGATTGATCTTATCTTTACCATATTTAGGAAGCAGTCATGTTTCATGAGTCCTCAAAACTGTGAGACAAGAGAATGTAGTAGTGAGGCCAGAAGTCCTTACTGGTTCAAAGAACTCCAGGGAAACTGGGATAGAACATTTTACATTATAAGTAGAACCCCGGGAGCCAGAGGTGAATGCAAGTTTATCTGCAGAGCTCCGCTGCAGGGCTGATCTGGGTCTGGAAGAAATGGATGAGAGCCACTGGATGAAATGCACTAATACTAGACATCTGAGTTCTCTAGTAATGTATAAATATCCCAACTATTATTTGTTGTCATTTTGTTATTTTTCTTCTTTTATAACCTCTATTTTAACTGGAACCTTAACACTGCAGTTTTGTTCTTTTGCTTGCTTCACTTTCCTACAGCTCATCACCCTTACTGTGCCTTATTCTCCATTATTTGGTTTACTTCTATCTGGCACTTCTTTTACTTTTTGATTGTCACATAAATATCTATCAAGACTTTTGTTCAATTTTTTTTTTTACTTGCGTCATGACCTTTGCATACCTGGTTGAAAGGCATATTTTAAATTGCATTTTTTTTTTTTTGCTCAAAACAACTGACTTTGGCCTAAAATATTTAAACTATCTTAAACATCGTTTGTTTTGCAGGTGTTTGTGAATGAACTTTGCTAAGTATGGATTCCGGTGGTGGAAGTCTCGGATTGCACACATCAGACTCCAGAATGGCCCATACCATGATTATGCAGGATTTTGGTAAAGCATTTTCTTTTTCTAAAAGCACAGAATTACTGAAAGTCAAACAAATTAATGAAGGGGAGAAATACAATGAAAAATCATTCTTTTACCTGTAAAATGCATTTGTAGTGTTTATTTCTTACAATGTTTCTCTGTGTTAGTGGTCTACTTCAAATTCTTAACATTTTGGAGAAGGGTGAAGTAAGGAAACTTGAAATAATGGTGATAAAATGGTAGTGTAAATAGAAAGCAACTAGGATAAATCACTACATAATTATATTCTGATGAGGTATATCCTAAAATGTAGGGAATGTTAAAATGGTTTTCTAAAGTACATTTCAAGTTCTACTGTTAATAAAGCTAGAAAAGAAAGTGCTTCTATTAATTCAAAGCAATTAGATGCTTTTTATGCAGTGATAAATAGGAAATCATGCAATTGATGACTAATTATGTTCTGCTTTATTTCCTGAGAAAGTTGTTACAAACAGTATATATTTTTCTTCCTTTTTTCTTTTAAAGACAAGAGGAGATGTCTTTTGACAGATAACAAAGCTAAATTTGGCAGGGTCTCTGAATTACCCAGGAGATAGTGGTATCTGAAATGTAGAGGTGTGGATAGGATCGGAAGAATTAAAGATAAGAGTTAAGTGAAAGCAAAGAAGACAAGTAGACTTAAAAAACAGAAAGCAAGATGCTAATAGAGTTGTCAAAGTTGAAATGTATAACAAAGAGCTACAAGTAATGAGGCTTTGCTCAATTAAGAAATGCTAGTATTCTTGTAGAATATGGTTGAATATATCGTTTGGTCGCCTCTTGTAAAGCCCACACTATTGAGATTCAGAACTGCATTTTTGTCTTGGCAGCGCTGTTAACAAATAGCTGTATGAACTTGGAAAAATCATGGAATTCACTTTTTTTATTCTCTATGTTATTATTACCCCCAGAGCCTTACACAACCACTAATCTGTCTATGGGTTTACTTGTTCTGAACATTTTTTATAAAGGGCATTATACATGATATGGCCTTTTGGCATGTTTCCACGTATGTGTACTTGATTGTTGTATACTGCCAAATGATATTTTGTTGTGTAGGTAAACCATAAGTGTTTAGCCATTCATCAGTTGATGGCCATTTGGAATACTAAAATATCTTTAATTTATTAGAACAGTTTTGTGTTTGACTTAAATCTTTGTGTCTTACAATTGACTGTGAAAGTTCTTGGAAGCGTACAGCAGTGTGTTAACGTGTATCTGAAATCACAGGAGAAAGCGCACTTCTTGGGATCCTATTCATTTAAATTGGGGACAATATATTTTCACACATGTTTACACATGATTACAGCTACGTAAATTGTTAAAAGCTAGAGAGAAAAAAATTCATTTTCCCTTTTTGAGAAATAAAATGGGAAAATTTCAGGACTTTTGAGTCTAATCATCTTGTTATGATCCTTTATGGCCTTTCTAAAATGAATTTAATGCTGTAAATAAATACATCTCTACTGAAAAAGTATAAAACTGTTTTTTTTTTTGTTACTTTATGCATGAATTTCAAACCTATTTTCCTCCAAAAGAAACTTTGAAATTTAGTTTTACAGGAACTTTTTAAACTACCATTGTTCACCTCTTCATAATTGAAATATCTAGTAGTGTTTTTAGCAATTGATTTTTGAAAGGATATATTTTTAACTTGCAGTTCACGCTCTGTCTTTAGCTTCAGACATATAAATCAATTGCTACTAAATGGTTTTTATGTTTTGCTAAGATAATTTTTATGAATTTCCAATTAAATAAAAAAAAACTAATTTTGGAAGATAGAAATTTTCTCCCTACTTGCTGATGTAAGTTCCGAGAACTGTGCATAGGTGTTTTATTTTTATACGATATTTCATGAAGTGGAAAGGTGTTGAATAATCAATAGCTAAAGGGAACTTTACTGGGGAAAAGTTTCAGAAGTGTTAGTCCTGATATCTTACGTTTCTTTTATAAACATCCCTGGGCTAATTTAATCCTGCTGTTAAACTTTGAAAATTTTAGATTTTCATTAGAAATTAGGCATATTCTTTGCATCTGTTGCCATCGAAATTTGGATATTTGCAAACTCATAAATTAATGATATGAGTTTGTAAAATGGAGTTTAGCACTCACAAATAGAACTAGCTACATAACACCCTATGTGTTACAGCAACCCTATAAGTTTATAAGGCTCTTGATTTTGAGTATGGAATGATTGCTATATAGAGAATCTGCACCATTAATTTAGATTTTATTAAAGCAGTTCTTTTTGAGGATGTTTGCTTTTTAAAAATTTAGAACTTTTTGTTTTATGTAATAACTTTGCTGGTATGTTAACATAGTAGTTGCACTTGGAGCCTATGCCATTGAATTTTATAGTTGTTTAATATCTTCATGCTGCAAAAGTCAGTGGGGCTTTGAGAATTAAATACCAAAACAACCTGATAGCTGTCCGAAACAGATCTAGAAAAAAATGTGTGTTATCAATGGTGAAGTTTCAAGAATTCACATTTAAATGAAGTGATTTTAGCAGAATTAATCTTTGATTAGCTTATAAATATTTGAAATGACTTTCTTGTTGATCTGGTTATCTGATTTTGCACTTTTAGATGATTTAAACATTTATAATTTGATAAACTGAGAAGCTAAAGTTTTAATGCAGTTTAGTGTTACCAAATGCTTTAAAGTTTAAATGGTTGGGATTTTTTTTTACACTTTTTAACTTTAAATTAGTTTTTCCCTTGGTAAATTTTATGAATCTTTTTAAAAATAGTCCATTGTAAACTTCCCTTCTGCACAAGTAGAAAAAAGCCAGCGAGATTAGACCTTGGACAAGCATGTTTAAACTATCTGTACAAACTTCCTTTATGTTTAAAATGGAGATAAAAGTTGCATAGTTATTATGAAGGTTAAGTGAGATAATTTATAGTTTTTATGAAGGTTAAATGAGATATTAGTAGGTTGCTTGATGCATTCATATTGCTTAATATGTATAGTTATTACATACCTAAATTAATGACTTTGCTTAGAAATGTGATAGAATCTAACAAAATGATGAGAGGAAAGAGCAAAAATAAAATGAGACATCTTACATATCATACTGAATAATCTGGTAGTGTCAAATTAATTCATTTCTTGGACTGGGATCTTTAAGATAACTTGGTTCCATGTAAACAAGTACATTTGGGTTTATTTTCTTTGCATATGGCTTGTTTTTATCCGTAATTTCCTACTAGAGGCCAAGATGAACTTAAAAGCACTTACTCCATCTTCTTAGAATCTACTCAACCAAGTTAATTCTTTGCTGCAGTCTACTTTTAGGAACCAAAGTAACCTCCAGCAGTGCTCCAAAGTAAATGTAGTTTCCCACATTTTAAATCTCTAAATTCTTAAAAGATTTTGCTAATGAAATGTATAAGTAGAACTCTGGTACTCTGAGCTTAACAAGCTCATTTGCAGTCTGGTTAAAAGCTAAATTTGAACCTCCACTCTGTCCTCATTTCTGCAATGGCCAATGGAATGATAATTAAATGAACAGAACTTGTTTTACGTCTTTTGTCTATCAGATTTTCAGGATTTTGGCTGTTTTCTTTTGGGGTAATTTGATGGTTTAGTTGGGAATTTGAGAATGGCTGGAAGGATTTAAAGACTGTTGAATGGTATCTACTGATCTGCATCCTAATTTGTTAATTAACTTTTATAATGAATTGGTTAAAAGTAGTGAACTTTTGGATAGTCAGGTGGCATTTTTTTCAGGTGCTACTTTATACAAAGTGATCGTGGGATGGAGAAGGACTTGTACCGGATTATTTAATGTCGAGAATTTACATAACCAGGTTCAGAAACTCTTGTTTATTGTATAAACTGAGGCTGGTAGAACTTAATGTTCATATAAAGGGTGTGACATCTCTTTCTATTTTTTGATGAATTAATTCCTTGTTTAAAAGATTTACTTTATTTATTGTATAAGATAAGTAACTTCATAGATTTTCACATATATAATACATATGTCATAATGTTTTCTTAAGTCGTTTAATTTAGCATATTAATAATTTATGTTGTCCTTTAATTTTTATTTTGTCTTAATATTTAAAATTATAATAATTTTACAGGAAATGGGAAGAAATTGACAGAGGGTCCCATGTATCTTTTACTTATCTTTTTCTAGTTTTGCCATCTTATATGACTAATGTAATGTCAAAATCAGATGATTAATATTTGGGGTATTTTTGTTACTTAGACTGAAAGCCTTGTATAGTTCTCACCATTTATTACATACATCCATTTGTGTGTGTGTGTGTGTAAACCTGTGCAGTTTAATTGCATGTATAGATTCATATAACTGTCACCACAGTAAAGATCACGGAGCTGTTACATTGCAACTTTCTGTTTTGCATACTTGGCTCACTGTTGGCAAGCACTAATCTGTTATCCATTTCTATATTTCTGAGTTATCATATTTCTGTGATTTTCAGAAAGTTGTGTCACATTTACATGTGATAAATGATGATAACATTTGGTGAGTGATGCTTTCACTCAGGGTAATATTCAGGCTATTTAATATATCAATAGCTTGTTCCTTTCTATTACTAAGCAGTACTTCATAGTAAGAGTGTGCAAGCAGGGTTACTTTAACCAACTGTTTATCTGCTGAGGGGCATTTGAATTGCTTAGTTTTTTTTTTTTTTTAATACTACTTGAGTTACACCTACTATGAATTGTAAATATATTCAGTTTTGTATAAGCATATATTTGATTTTTTTATGGGGAAAAGTGTTCTAGAGTACAGTTGTTTGATATGGTAAGTCAGTATTTATTTTCCTAAGTTGCCTGGTTATTTTCCAGAATGTCCTTAAAATCAAACAGTATCATTCTTTTTGGTAGGAATTTTCAAAATGATTCTAAAATTTATGTACAAATGTAAACATCCTAAAATATTTCCAAGAACTTTGGAAAAGAGCACAAGTGGAGGATTGGTTAGGACTGTTCAATATTTAAAGAACATGTTAAAGCGTTTGATATATATACTTCTGCTGAATAAAATAACTTTACCTTTTTGGTTAATTGTTTGTATTGTAGTGGCTGGAATGGCTGGTACTGCACATATCGATGGAGATCATATTGTTGTTTCGGTTCCTGAAGCTGTGTTAGTTTCTGATGTTGTCACAGATGATGGGATAACTCTTGATCATGGCCTTGCAGCTGAAGTTGTCCATGGGCCTGATATCATCACAGAGACTGATGTGGTAACAGAAGGTGTGATTGTTCCTGAAGCTGTACTAGAAGCAGATGTTGCCATTGAAGAAGATTTAGAGGAAGAGGATGGTGATCATATCTTGACTTCTGAGCTGATTACTGAAACAGTTAGGGTACCTGAGCAAGTTTTTGTGGCTGACCTTGTTACAGGTCCTGATGGACATTTAGAACATGTGGTCCAAGATTGTGTTTCAGGAGTTGACTCTCCCACAATGGTATCAGAAGAGGTTCTTGTTACTAATTCAGATACAGAAACTGTGATCCAAGCTGCTGGTGGTGTTCCTGGTTCTACAGTCACTATAAAAACTGAAGATGATGATGATGATGATGTCAAAAGCACTTCTGAGGATTACTTAATGATATCTTGTAAGTAAAACATAAAGCCTGGAGTTATTCGGGAAATTATATAATTTGCTAGTTTTCTGGGATGAGAAAAAATGACTGCCATGAGGGCAATCTTTTTGAAAAAAGATTTTTTCAAAGCTGTTGATCTTTTTTATTCAGCTTTTTAATTTTCCCTATGCAAATCCATACTCTAAATAGATTTAAATAGTACAGTTTGTTAATCTTTTAGCATAGAAATATAGGTTTATCAGATTCAAAACAGCTTTAACTGTTGTAAAAGTTTTATGACATATATATGTTTATTTCAAAATGGAAGGTTTTTTTTTTTTTATATATACCACCATTGATTTCTTTAATATGGCTGGCACTGGAGTTGTCAGTTCAGTTTTAATTAGAAACTGAAGGGTAGTATGTTAACTTTCATGTATGTTTTGAAATTAATCAAAAAGGAAGTTACAAACATAGATCACATTCTACAGTTCTTGTGTTTATACAGTCTATTTGTCTGAAACTGTGTACATTTATTGCGAGCAAAACTGTAATCTTGGTTTCAGGTTACTTTGCAGGATCCTTAAGCTGGTGATAAAAATTTTGTTTTCATTTAAGTGATGGGTTTGCCTTAAAAACAATGGTAATAAAAATCATTAAAGTTATTGATGGAGCTTAAGGAAACAGATTTATTTTTGAAATTGTAAAGGATCACAGTATAAGTAGTAAAAATTAAAGATGACTTCTTTTTCTTGGGAGAATTCTTATTTTCTTTTTGAAATATAAATACATTTCTGAAGTATATTATATGATGGAGGATTTGTATATGTTTATATTTATGTAAATTAGTGAAATATGTGTGCGAGTGAATTTACAGTTAAGCAAATGAGATAATTTGTAAAAATGTAAAATGCATTGTGTTAGTTTTTTCCTTCTACAGTTATTTTTGAAAGTGAATATTCATATAGATTTTTAGAGAATGGTTTAAGTCATTAAAAGACTGCAAATACCATTATTCTTAAATAGATGTGTTTCTGAAACAGCTATTTTTATGTCTTCTCATTTAAAATATGCTTATTGTATGAAATGGTGTGGCAAATCATGATAGTCACTATACGGAAAGGATAGTTATTAAACTAGTGTTAAAGTGATCCATATTTTACACTTTATATATCATAAATAATCACATTTTATATTGTTTTCTGATTTGATTGTGCAAAATTTTTTTAAAGACGTTTCTGGAGCATTTTAAGGCAGAATATTTATCTTTCTAATTACTACATTGGTCAAATGGGAGGCCTTTGCCCTCAGTGTAATTAGACTATGTTAAAAGAATATTATTTTATTCTAATTTTATTAGAATAAATGTGAGGTTGTTTTGTGGTAAATTTAGGCTCGAGATTGTTTACTTCCTTAATCATTAGGGAGGAAACCATTTTTATAAATTCCTTTAAAATCTTATTTTTTAATCAAAATATATACAGATACACAAAAAATAATTATTTTCTGTGCTATGCATTTTCTACCATCAACTTCGTGAACAATTTTATGATTGTTATGCTTGAATTAAAACTTTTACTATTTCCAAGTATTCTGTTTTTTTTCTTCATATTGTTTCTTAATTTCTGTTACCTTTTGGTTTTAGCTGGTCCATTGATGCTTTTAAGAGTTAGACAATACTATGAAATACCTAAGTGTTCATTGTTTTTCCCAAGTAGAGATTTTAAAAATGTCAAGAAACAGAGTTGACAAATTAAAATAGACTTTTGTCTTGTTCCTGAATCCCTAAATAAATATTCTTTTAAGGAAACCTCATTAGCTGAGTTTCAGAGGGTAGAAAGTTTGTCTTCTCTCAGTATTAGATGTTCATCTAACTTTAGGCCAGATCTCACAAATTCCTTATCTTAGTAGTTTAGGATATCCCACTTATGCTGAATAACATGGAAATTAATGTAGGTGATTGTGTCTGTGTAGACAAATGCTAAATGTGCTCTTTAAAAAAATGCCTAATACCCATTAAGCACATTTGCCTAGTGATTTTTTTCCTTTATGAAAAGAATGTGGATATGTGTTTTTTTGGATATTCATGGAGTTCTACAATAAAATGCAGTTTTATTATTTTTTCATGAGTCCACAAAGTAAAGCCCTACATTAAAAAAGGAGATTTATTCTTATTTTTATTGGAAAGGTTGATCTACAGAGTGAAGAAGAGACAGAAAAATCATCCATCCACTGGTTCCAAATGGCCACAACAGCTGGAGCTGAGCTGACTGGAAGTTCCAGGTCTCCCATGCAGGTGCAGGGTCCCAAAGACTTTGGCTATTCCTCTGCTACTTTCCTAGACCACAAGCAGAGAGTTTTATGTTAATTGGAGCAGCCTGGAAATGAAGCGGCACCCATATGGGATGCTGGCACTTGTAAAGGGAGGATTAGCTAGTTGAACCATCGTGTTGGGCCTGAGCCTTCTATTCTTTAGCAGTTAACCCCCAACTCTAGCCACCTTTAGACAACTTCTAAGCCAATTTCTGTCACTGAAGCTATCCCTACTATCCTGGACATTCCATGTAAATGGTATTATATACATTTGTGGCCTTTTATAGCTCATTTTTCACTTACATTTTGAAGCAGAATTTATGTTGGAGTACATAACAATACTTATTGTTTATTACTGAGTAATAGTCCACCATGTAGATATACCACATTTCGTTTACCCACTCATCATCTGATGGACATATGGGTCATTTACACATTTTGGCTGTTGTCAATAATGCTGCTATGAATATTCTTCTACATTTTTTGGTGGGGCATATGCTTTTATTGCTTTTCTTTTATCTGATTATAGAACACCTTTGAGATATGCTTATTTTTCTCCTGCCTTCTGAAATTAAGATCCTTTGCACATTGCCTGATTCCATCCCTATGGTAAATCAGCATGCTATATGTAATTTGTATGTGGATAATATGAAAGGAATAACGTATGAGCAGGCATTTAGTCTAATTTGGTTAAAGAGTTGTGGATTTAGTTGACCCTGTGTCTTGTTCAGAACACTTCAGCTTGGTTGCTGGCTCTGGCTCTTGACTCTAGCATCCTGCTGGTACAGACCTGAGAAGGCAATGGTGGTGGCTCACTTAGTCAGACTTGTGCCACCTGCTTTGAGTCTTGGATTCAGTTCCAGCTCCCAGCTTCTGCTCTGTCCAACCTTGCCTAATGTGGTCATTTGGGGAGTTGAACCAGTGGAAGCCAGTACCTCTGTCTCTGTCTCTCTAATAAGTAAATATTTTAAAGGTTGTAAAGTCAATTTAGCTTTAAAAAAGAAAGCCACATTATATACTTTGCTAATAAGAGAATTTAGTCTAATTGTGCCATTGGGCTATAAAAGTTTATTGAATATTAACAAAACTTTCTATGTTGGCAATCCAAACACCTTACTCTGTTATATTTAGTGCCAAGAGAATTCTGTGGCTGGTAATTTATTATCTTCTTATTGCTGGGTTGAGAAAGAAGAGTGTGCGGCTTAATTATTAAATTCCTTTAAAAAAAAAAGCAAAAGCATTAACCTTAAATTTTATCAATTTTGAATATTATATCCATTAAAATTTTGAAGATTCATTTCTGAAATGAGTTGATTGCTTATTCTTTAATTCTTTATTTAATAAATAAACATAAATCTGTAAGAACAGAATAAATCATGGACAGATGATGGTTTACCTCTTAAAACTACACTTCAATATCTGTTGCTGTCCTGCAGCGGTGGACTTGGTGCATGGAGCTTATAATAACATGCATGAACTACTGACTGATGATCAATAGCCAAAATTTATTAGGGGCAACAGACTTTATACACTGAGGGTCATATAGGATTAGGGTGGAGGTGTTTAGCTCATCAACAAACCCATCAACTGTTTCTATGCTTTTGTTTGGAACTCCTTTTGTCTTGTATATTCCACCAAGTGTTCTCATACACATGCTTTCCACTCAACTGTTCTTTTTTTTTTTTAAGATTTATTTATTTATTGGAAAGTCAGATATACAGAGAGGAGGAGAGACAGAGAGGAAGATCTTCCATCTGATGATTCACTCCCCAAGTGAGCACAACAGCGGGTCTGAAGCCAGGAACCAGGAACCTCTTCCGGGTCTCCCACAGGGTGTAGGGTCCCAAAGCGTTGGGCTGTCCTCAACTGCTTTCCCAGGCCACAACAGGGAGCTGGATGGGAAGTGGAGCTGCCGGGATTAGAACCGGCGCCCATAAGGGATCCTGGCGTGTTCAAAGTGAGGACTTTAGCCACTAGGCCACTGTGCCGGGCCCCACTCAACTGTTCTTACAGAAATAATATCCCATCAGGTATGCAAAAGGTAGTCATTCAGTGGTTCTCATGCAAAGGATATCCAATCAGTCACACAAAAGGCACCCATTCAGTTACTTATCATACAAATACTGTCCAATCAGCTGTAATCATGTGCTCCCTGACCTTCTAGGATCACAATGTCCTCCTACAAATATCTTTAATAAGTTTTTCCCCTTCTATAAACTTAAAATAGAGCTTAAACAGAACGATATAGAATGGTTAGTTACTCAGTACTTTTTAATTTATTTTGATGAATCTAAATGGAAAATAATTAAGCTGTTGGAAGAAAATATGTACCCCAAGCAAGGTAGAACTGGAACCAGTATAATAATAACAATAATAATAGTAATAACAGAATCAGAGGGAATGGCAACAGTAATTTCAATACTCAAAGCTAAAATTGTGACACAATCTAGTGTGAAAAAATATGTGTTTCACTTCAAGAGTGTTAATTTTGTGAATTATGGCTCTAGTTTAGCTTGTCCCAGAGGGAACTGTGGTCACATTAAATAATTTGTATACAGTAAGGCAGTGTTTACTGTAAATTTACTACAATTATAATGTTTACTATAAATATTATGTTTTGGATATATTTTTAAGGTTTTTGCGGGTCCTGTTGTCCTATTGTCAAAAAATTACGAACAATATAGTAACAAAATGAGGAATTAAGGTAGAATGAAAATATTTATTTCATTTTGATCATTTGTGTGCTGTCTTTCATAAACAATAGATGTTCAGATTCTTAAATCATATAAAATAATTTGATCACAAGTTAAAATAGCTTTTCACTGTGGAAAAAAATTCTGAAATGCATTGTTTTCCATAATTTTGAAATGCCAAAAGATTATTTTTTGAAGTTGTTTCAAATTTGAAAGTTAAATAGGAAAAAAATCTACTTTGTCTTTATAGAATTGTTAAGCTGCTTGATGATTTCATGTTTTGTAGATGGTACTATGATTTATATGTGTGCATCTATATAAGTCCACACATGATATTTGGGAGGACATTTTTAATTTAGATTTCAGTTTTTATAGGAATAGCAATGAAATGAAAATGCCTAACCTTTAGGTGGAGTATATTGTTTGGATGTTATTTTTGACTATAAGGCAGTATTTATTAATATTCATTACATAGTTCATGGGTGGTATCCATGTGAAACTAAATACTATTCTTACATAATGTGTGAAGAATCACATTTTGTAAGTATACTTAAAATGCAAGTAATAGCCTCAATTTTTTTTTTGCTTTGCCTTTAAGATAAAATTTTTTCCTACTTACTGAAATATCAGAGTGTGAATTAAAAAAAGTAGAAGCACTCATTTATGTATTTTCTTTATGTATGATGTTGAAGTAAAGCTTGCACTGAAAAATAGGGAAGTATAAAAAAATTTGGTTTGAATTTTGTTTTTGATTTATTCAATAGAAATATTGTTTACTGAGATTATATTTTTATAATGATTTATAAGTAAGATTTCAATAATACTATTTTATTATCCTTTTTCCTAATTTTTTAAATTGTTTGATCTCATTATATTATTGGTTTAGGAATCACTGCTTTTTAACCTGGGTACTGCTGTTTTTGTGAGCATATTATTTGTGAGCAATGTGTATTTTATTTTTTGATTTTTCTGTCATTAATTTTGCGGTTAGGATTTAACTAAAAGGGCTCAAGATGATAGAAGATTCTGTAATTTTTCCCAAGCCATTTTAATTAAGCTCATTTGGTTGTTAAGTATTCCTATTTGAATCTGTGAATTTTTTTTTAATTATGATCATGTAGTATTTGATGTTGTATACTACTTTTCATTAAGCAGCATTTGACTGCATAGCAGTTCATTCAATGAATAGTTAGTGGGTGGTTAACATTTTCTTATTTCTTCTGTACTTAACACCCATTAAATGTCAATGATCCTTTTTGACTTAAATAGTTCCCACTTTGTATTTTATAGTGGATGATGTTGGAGAGAAACTAGAGCATATGGGGAACACTCCATTAAAAATTGCCAGTGATGGTTCACAAGAAGATGTTAAAGAAGATGGATTTGGTTCAGAAGTAATAAAAGTGTATATATTTAAAGCAGAGGCTGAAGATGATGTTGAAATAGGTATAAAGACTAATTTTAATTTATTGCTGTAATAGGGACTGAGTTTCTTACTTTTTCAGGGAACTGTTTGAAAATTATCCTGAAAGCACAGCTTTCTTGGGGGTAGTATATTTAAAAATTGTGAATGAATTTAAAACAGTAATGTAAAAGAGGTCATTTGTTGATTCATTTATGAGTACAAAATTGAAGATACAAAACAAATGATACAGGGGATTTGGTTTGAGTAAGAAATTATGCTGAAGTGCACAGATTTATAGTTACTGCTTCTACCACATAACTAGATGATCTTTGATGAGTTACTTCCATTTGCTTCTGTTTTCTCATTGATAAAATGTTATCATAATGAAAGTAACTACTTATTTGTAGGCCTAAATAAATAAATATGTGTGAAAGACTCACAGTGCTTGGCATCAAAGCGTGGTATAAATGTTGGCAGTTGTTTGTCAGTGATAATTGAAAGTTCACTGCATTTTTATGACAATAGTCTTGGCATTTTGAAAATTATTTTGGAATCAAAAGTTTTTCTAAAGGAAAAGATTGCTTATATATTCTTGTTAATGTGGGGATTTTTGTGTTTTGATTTTTAAGGTGGAACAGAAATTGTCACAGAAAGCGAATACACCAGTGGACATTCTGTAACTGGTGTGCTTGACCAGAGCCGCATGCAGCGGGAGAAGATGGTTTACATGGCAGTTAAAGATTCTTCCCAAGAAGAAGATGATATCAGTAAGAAAAAAAAAAAAAAGACTCTATAGTGACTTATCAATAGCTGTCACGAAAAGTACCTCATTATATAGGAGCAATGTTCCATAAAATATGCTTGACCCTTTATTGTAGAAAACTTAAAGGGTTATTTTGACTATTAATGTATTAGTGAAATCAGCAAATTTAAAATGTAGATACTATGCTAGTAATACAGAGATAAGCAGCATACCTTTCTTAATTTCAGTAGAGCTCAAAGATAATATAGAGAATCATTAAGTTGCTGCTTTATTTATATCTTGGATATAATGTGTATATTCTCAGAACTTATCTCAGGATAGATGGCATTATGCCTGTGTAGTGGAAGGGAAGAAAGCTCCGGGAATATAATTTGCCACTGGTAATTCCAGTACTGAAAGTAGAAAGGGCAAAATGAACTCATCTGTCTGTACAAACCATGATTTTGCCAATGAGAAGGAGCACAGTTGTCCTTACCCTGAATTTAGCAGTGGAAAGGGTATAAATGGTTGTTCTTGGGAGAAGTTGTCTTCAAGTATTCTTCCAAGCTGAATTGTCATGGCTTTCAATTACGCTGCGGATGGTCTTTGCTGCTTCAAGGTTATGTTGCATGTTTCTTTATTCCTTCCGTACTGTTACTTTTACCTTTCTTCAATCACAACTTTGTTTTGCCCTAGTGAGGCAAGAGCCTCCAGTTTTTACTGGACACCCTAACAGTACTAAGCTTTACCTGCATTGCGCTCTTATACCTGCTTGTCAAGTTTGTTTCCTTAGAAGCCATGGGGAGTTGAACTCTGCCCTCAAATATGATTTTTCTGTTACAGCCGAGAATAACAAAATGAGTGGAGATGATTTGGATGGAGAGGAAGAGTTCAATGAGTATTTCTTTAGTTTTTATAAATTTTTTATTGTTCTATTAACTCACTTGTAAGCAGACACAGGAAGAGGTGGGAGACTGAGCCTTAACTTAGTTGATGCCAAAATTTCATTGGAATGTGGAAAACTTAGACTGTTGTCACTTTCTGGTTGTTGAGGAGAAGGTACTGGGAGAAGAGGGTACTTTTTCCTGCATTCCTTTTACAGTGAATACATGATCCCAGTTAGGTGAATCAAAGTAAGATAATAAATTCAAGCTCTTGACATGTTAAATATAAATAGATTTCATCGCATAAAATATATTAAATGATTCTAGGTTTAGATATTTTGTACTACAATACAGATTTTCTTTAAATGAGAGCCAATGCTTTCATTTCATTCATCAGCATGAAATCATTAGAAATCAAATATTGAGGTCCACATAATCTTGAGCACCAACTATATAAACATAGTCTTTTAAATTTAATTTGTTCAATTGCTAGTATTTTGGCTGTTTTTTTTATGACATGGTCTATGTGAAGTGTTTTTGGATTTACAAAAACTGACAGGCAAGGTATAGGAATTTGTAATGCCTGATGGACTGTAAGATCCTTCACACATATCTTGTGCTCTTTAAAAAGAACCTTTCTTAATGCAATGTTTAAGTAAGAGCTGTTTAAAATCCTACAATTATAAGTGAGTACCATAAACATTTTACTTTTCTAACATCTTTGAAAATCCATCTTTCTCCCTTTAGAAAAACTTACTTATTAACATCACATTTTTAACAAGTTTTGAGGGTTTGAAAAACATAAATTCAGATGTGCTTTTTTAGAATGTGTAACAAAAGATACATTTCTCAAATTTTCTGTTTCATTCTTGTGTAATGGTAAAAGATGGTTCAGGTAAGTCAAAGTCTTCTAGGAGTTAGCAACTGCAAGAATGCTGATGGTAGCCCTTATTTTTCAGCACATAAAAATATCTGATCTGTGGCAGTGGAATGCATTTTTTCAAATCCAAGGAATGGTGGGCAAAGCAAGATTTTGTAGATTAAGATAAGATGCTTGTAATCACTATACTCGGCATGCAAGCTTCTAATTAGTCGTTTGTTTTTAGGAGATGAAAGAAGAGTTTCCCGAAGATATGAAGAATGTCAAGCTTCAGGTGAGAGAACATTGCTATATCCATGGGACTCAGCGTGTTTTTGCACTAAATCTTTCTTTCAATTCAGTTTTCCTCAAAATTGTTTGGAGTAATACCCTTGTATTTGAGATTCCAGTTAAACATCTGGCTTTGTATGCTTCTTGGTCAGTAAAGACTATCTGGATCTATAGATAGAATATTGGACTCTTACATGCTTCATCGTAACTAATCTAGTTACAAATAAATTTACCTATATAGAAATTGAGTAGTTTTTACATTAATATGAAGTGTGTGAATCTGTGGCTGCAGTTTACTTTAGAGTACCCTCAAATTATTAAGCAGCTTTTTCTATGGGTCATAAGGAAGTTTGCTATAAAAAAATCTAGAGTAGAAATTATTTGGACAACAAATAAAAATTACACATTATATAGGCCACTTGTGGAAATCTTTCTTGGGGTAGAACTGTTTTCTTAATTTCTTTGGATCCAGTAGATGTATATATAAATTACATAAACTTGTATGTCAGTTTGATTTGTTTTCAGTTTTAATACACCATATGGTGTGATTCAGTGGCTGATTATTTTGTTTTCTTAAGCAAGGAGGCTTTTCTTAGGATAATGTGTCTTAGTGTTTTGTGTGTACATTTGGAAAGTATTTAGCACTTAATGTAAATGTAGTGTTAAGAGAAATTGAGAGGCATATGTCACAAATAGAAGCTAAACTGCCACTTTTATAAATTTACATTTTAAGCTGTAAAACACCATAACAGGTTTTTGACACTTAAAATTTTGCTAACTACTTTATAATGTATATACTGATCTCACTGAAATTGCAGGAAATTGCCACATTTATTTAAACCTTTAATTCAATCTTAATATTTAGTTAATATTCTACATTATTCTATATTAATTACACTGTTCTAAAACATGTATAGAATGGATCTAGTCTGTTTTTAATGCATTACACATAGTTATGTATTTGATGATATATGTACTTTTTCTGTTAAAACTCATTAATTTCATCAGCTCTTTTTATACTTCAGATTTTTTGATGCCAAGATTTTGTATAGAATCGTAAAATTCTATTTCTTTTATTTTTCTCTAACTGCTTTATTCCTTTAGGATGATCAAATATATATATTTGAAAATTAATTTCATGTGACATGCTGTTCATATTATTTGCCTGTATACATCTGAAGGTGGGAGATACAAAAGAATGAAAAGATGCACATACATTATGAAATTTACTTTATATTCTGTAGTGGTTAACCTGACAAAATCAATCTATCTTTCTCTGTGTGTGTGTGTAGTGCAATAATTGTGTTATCAATATTTTTGCAGGAAATACTTTGGAGCCAACATTGGAAAACAGAAATAGTACAGCAGCTCAGTACCTCCAAATTTGTGAGAGCATTAATACAAATAAAGTACTTAAACAAAAAGTCAAGAAAAGGAAAAGGGGAGAAACCAGACAGTGGCAAACAGGTAAATTACTATAAATCTTTAATGTCATACTGAGTGCTGATGTAGAAATACTGTGTTTTAACCAGGGGAAAACAATCAGTTGTCATAGACTTCATGTACCTAGTATGTATGATACAGATAATTATTATTTTTATGGTATGTGGTAGTTACCTTCTAAAGTTATGCTTGTTTGCTCCTCATTAAAAACATGATTTTAATGTGAATTTTTAGGTTGGTCTAACAATAAAGGGTTACTATTTCTGGTTTTCAAAATGCATGTGTTGTAAACATTTTGGCAATTGAGTAGTATATAATATAGTGCTACTCATCACTTACTGGTAAACTACTTTATCATAAATTTCTTTTGATATACTATGTAGTATCATATTGTTCACATAGTGAATGTCAGCTAATTTTGATGCTTTTATTACAGTTTTTTCATTCTGACTGTCACAAATTTATTTTTCTTTTTTTTTTTTATCTAGCTGTTATAATAGGTCCTGATGGACAGCCCTTGACAGTATACCCTTGCCACATTTGCACAAAAAAGTTTAAATCCAGGGGATTCTTAAAAAGACACATGAAGAATCATCCCGATCATTTGATGAGAAAAAAATATCAGTGTACAGATTGTGACTTTACAACTAACAAGAAAGTGAGTTTCCATAACCACTTAGAAAGCCATAAGCTTATAAACAAAGTTGACAAAACCCATGAGTTCACAGAATACACACGAAGATACAGAGAGGCCAGTCCACTGAGTTCAAATAAACTTATTTTAAGAGACAAAGAGCCGAAGTTGCACAAGTGCAAATACTGTGACTATGAAACTGCAGAACAAGGACTGTTGAACAGACATTTGCTGGCTGTTCACAGCAAGAATTTTCCTCATGTTTGTGTTGAGTGTGGGAAGGGTTTTCGACATCCTTCTGAACTCAAGAAACATATGAGAACCCATACTGGTGAGAAGCCATATCAGTGTCAGTATTGTGTCTTCAGGTGTGCAGATCAGTCAAATCTGAAAACTCACATTAAATCTAAGCATGGTAGCAATTTACCATATAAATGTGAGCATTGTCCCCAAGCATTTGGTGATGAGCGAGAGCTTCAGCGCCATTTAGATTTATTTCAAGGACATAAGACTCACCAGTGTCCTCATTGTGACCATAAGAGCACCAACTCAAGTGACCTTAAGCGGCACATCATATCTGTTCATACCAAGGATTTTCCTCATAAATGTGAGGTCTGTGATAAAGGTTTCCATCGTCCTTCTGAGCTGAAAAAGCATAGTGATATCCATAAGGGTAGGAAGATTCATCAGTGTAGGCACTGTGACTTTAAAACATCAGATCCATTTATTCTTAGTGGTCATATCCTTTCAGTTCATACTAAGGATCAGTCATTGAAGTGTAAAAGGTGCAAGAGAGGGTTCAGACAACAAAATGAGTTAAAAAAGCATATGAAGACCCATACTGGAAGGAAGATTTACCAATGTGAGTATTGTGAATATAGCACTACAGATGCATCTGGCTTTAAACGACATGTGATATCAATACACACAAAAGACTATCCGCACAGGTGTGAATTCTGCAAGAAGGGATTCCGAAGACCATCAGAGAAAAATCAGCATATTATGAGGCACCACAAAGACATTCTTATACAGTAAAATAAATGTAAGGAAAAAAGTTATTTAGAAACTATGATATGCTACTTGGGAGGAATATCTCACTCTCTCATCTGACTTCAACTCTTGATATTAAACCATAACATTACATTATTTGTACTAAAGAGCTTCAGATATTTGAATTGATAGGGGATGTTACAGCCCTTTGGATTTTACTTACAGAATTTAAGAAGCACCGTAGAATGGTTGCTGAAAAACTTTATGTGTCTATTCATAGTGTTATATGCATAATTAGAGGGGAACAGCAAAGATAAGTAGTGTATTTGGTTGATCCTATTAGAGACAAATGGTTCTGAAAAGAGTACTTAATTGAGAAGTTCAGCAATTCTTTGCTATAGCAAGCAAGCCTCACTTCTATGCAATTTTAGAAATGGGGTAGGGAAATAAAAATCAGTCATCCATCAGTCACTTAATCATTAAGCCTTTTCTATTGTACCTGGAAATTGAATTCCAGAAATGGCAAAGTTTTTTGTGTATTCATTAGAAGAAATTCTACTGGAAACACGTTAGAGGAATTCATTATTATTTCAAAAAGAATTTCAGAGCTGCTAATATTTTATCAGAGGATACGGTGTTTAAAATATCACATTCTGTACTGATTTAAGGTGAAGTTCAAGTTGATTGTTCAGTGCAACGTGTATTACAAAAGTCTATTTGAGTCAAATGTGGCTTTCTAAAATGGCTGCAACGTTAGTGTTGCAAACAAAATTAGCACTATATTTCTTATTAATCTAAAGATTAAAATGAGAGAACACAGTTTTCTTAAACATTATAATGTTTAGAGATTTTTTTGTAGGACAGTCTTAGCAGGTATGATTGTTCTAGTCTTACTTGCTCTAATGTTTAAAGGTGCAATTTTATGCCATTATTGAAAATTTGATTTTTAAAATCGATATACCATGTTATTAACAAGCATTTTCAATGAGGCAGTATTTATGCAGTATTTAACAGAACAGTATGCTGCCAATAGAGTTTGGAGATGGATATTCAGTTTACAGTGTATAAATTTAAAATATGCATCCCTTTAACAACGCTTTGTGTTAGCATGCTGCAAATCAAAATGGCGCTTAATATTTAAAGCTGGTTTAGGGAAATTTAATGAAAATCCTGTTCATAAATGTTATGCATATGATGTGTACTTTTAAGTTTTAGTTGCTTCATGTTTACATTCAGCTGTTGAACATACTTAAAATGTATTTTTACTTCATGCTATATTGTGGCTTTGTGTTTTATATAATGTTCACCTTTCTGTTTTTTGCACCAGATAAGAATCAGTTTCTGAAGAATCAATTTTTTATCTTTCTTAACTTCAGAATATTAAATTTGGGAAATCAGCTAAAGTTGTGTGTTACGTGGCTGTAAATGATGTAAACGCTGTAAAATAAGATCGTCACTGTTACGTGGGATTATTATTTCTAAATGTTACTCATTGAAATGAGCATACAATAAAAAAGCATTTATTGCACTTCTAGGTTTTCTGAGTTTATTTAAAGTTGTGTTGCAACATCCATTCCTTATTAAAAGACTTTCATTTAATTTTTTCCCTTGGCAGTTTGGTACTGAATTTTCTGCCTTATCAACAACAAAATCTGGGAAATTAAAAAAAATAGGTATGACATTGGCATTCTTACTCCCCAAGAGTGTATATTATTTGCTAAAACTATAATGAAATACTACAAATAAATGTGCCCAGTCTAAGATACAGTATTGCAGAGAAAATTAAAATGAAAGAAATATCAACCTACCAAATGACACTGTCTTCAATATTGAGTTCATCTGTGTTCCAAAAACTCAAAAGCAATTATTCAAATATTTGCTGAAGATTTCTGCAAATGAGTATTAGCACTTAATAAAATTCATTATCTGTAGGTATATCACACTATTAGGTAAGACATGGTCAATTTGATGATTAAATATTCTTTATGAATCCTTCAAAGAAATGGAAGAAATCCATTAGCCTCACATGTGAGAATAGTGCTTCTAAGACGTACCAAGTGTTCTCTTAGGGAACTTGTTAAAAAATTCATTCATATTGTGATTTGGTAGGTGAGCATTAGACCTACAATTCTACATTTTTAGCAGTCTCCTAGGTATTGCGACCCTATGAGTACTAAATCATTAGATAAAAGCACCTCACAAAGTTTTGTCACACTTTGGTGCTTTTGCTTAGATAATTACCAGTGAGTAGATGGAACAATTCTTTGTGAAGACATGATATTTGGTCTCAGATGTGAGTGGCAAGAAGAAACCAGCCAAATGATGATCTGTCATAAGGTATACAAACCTGCCGATGCAAATAACTTGAGGTGGAATAGATTTAGGCTAGATCATGTTAACTGAGGGGAAAGGATGGGGCAGGAACATCTGAAAGTGAGAAGCCATTGGAAGGTTTTAAGGACAGGAATAACATGATTTACATTTGAAGATCACTCAACAATGGTTGAGGAGCTTTGGGAGGCAGCCATGGAGCCATGCCGAGACATTATTTCATTTGTTCATGGTTAAAGTGGAACTCAAGAAAAGTAGATATATTAGAAGATTGCCTTAAAATACAGATTTTATTGCACAAGATTTCCTGTATACCCAGATTCCTCTAAAAATGTAGGTCTCTCGATTAAAGTATCCTCACACACAAAAAAGGAAAAGTTACTAGAAAAGAATTTTTTCAAAACAGAGTCATTGTTTATAGATATGCTTACCCAGTTATCACTTCTGAATGGGCAATACTGTAATGGAAGGCAATTGGGATTGTTACTCATGTAACGCACCTAAATTCAACTCTTCATATCTCATACAGGACAACTACCAGTTTGAACCTCGAACTGTACTTGCAGATGCGTAGATATCTGCCTCTCTCTGTGTGTGTATACATGTCTATATACAAAGTTATAAGAATATTACGGACTCCTACACAGCCAATCATCCACAATTAATAATCCTCATTTAATGACAATTCTTACGTTATATTCTCCTTACTCCATTTATCCACTTATTTTTGATTGCTTAATTTGTTGCTTCTTTCCCCTGTTGGTTCAGTTTGAAGCAAATCTTACACATGTTTTTTTAAAATTTTTGAATAAAATTTAGCAAATAACTCGGCTGCATTGAAGACAGAGATTTGATTCTCGTGAGAATCAAAAACAAAACAAAAAACCTGGATAGGCTTGAAATCTTATCGAGTAAGTTTTTGAGAATTAAGAAGGTTTTTAGCAAAACTGCAGGACTAGATTAGAACCCGGTAATATTGTTGGATTGGAGAATCTTGATAATTTCCCAACTTCTCCCAGTGCTACCATCCACTTTTAAAATATAATTAGCTTGTAAACTTGAAGCTGATCAAGAAGAGTCTCTTAGCATCTTGGGGATCATTGATAAAGAAAAATGGATGCTATTATCAGCAGTGACCAGTACTGCAGAAGAATTTTTATTAGTTTGTAGGATCAAAGCTGTAGTAACAGATACTCCAAGCTAAAAGTATTCCAACTACCCATTCCACTTTTACCTGTCCTCTGTTCATTAGATGAGTAAATACTACAAAGGGAACCCTACCCCACTTTTAAATTGGGCCTGTTGACAGTATGAGTATTGACCTTTAATCTATAATGTGAGTCTCAGTCACCAGCCAACTGATTCCAACACCACCCATTCATCATAGCATCAGAACTCCTTTAGAGAACTACATCAAAAAGCCTATGTATTTTCCCACTTCAGGACTGGGGTTTGCTCTTTGAATCTTGAAACATATGGACTAGGAGTATCATCTACATATAGAATGAAATAATCATATTACAAAGAGTGTCCCTCAACATAAAAGATGAATGAAACATAAATTTCAGTAATGAGTTATTTTAATGTGGAATGGGAAAGCAAATATAGAGACCATGACCTTGACATGTCATTATTTGTAAGAGACAAATATTACCAGAATTGTCTGAGTATCAAATAACCATGAAATAATCAATTCTAATGTTCCTTTTCTAGGTTATATGTAATTGTTTATTACATTCTTTAATTTTTCAAGAATTTATCCCATAATGGACATGAAATATTTTGTATGTTCAAGGTAAAAATACTGTGGTGATCCAATAGATTTAGTAGTGTCCTTTGGTAAGGCACATGTGCCGTGTAAGGAAAAAATTTCAAAGCATATTATTCATTTTCAAAAAAAATGTGTTATCTTTGTAGATTGCAATAATGGAAATATGAGGATGGTTTTTTATTAAGGTGATATAAATTGGTTAGTGAGATACAATTTTTTAAAGTTGTGTTTCATTCCTTTTGTACTATCCATCTTGATGAAAACTAATACAATTGAAGTAGCATTGCAAGGATGTGAAGATTGCTTTATGGAATCATGTTTTAAACCAGTGATTTATGGAAGTTAGAAAGCAAGTTTTAATATTTTTAATTTTTATAAGATGAACAAATTTCACATATTTCATATATGCAGATTTAGAGTTTGTAAGCAAAGAAATTCTCAAAGAAGAAACTTGTATCAACAGTTGCAGCTTCGCTAAGGCACTATCTAGTAGTTCACATTGGGGAGTTTTTGTTTACTAAATCAAACTAGTGTCACATGCAAAATAAAGATTAGAGTAATACTAACTTCCTGAGAAAAATAGAGAAGCTAGATTTCTCCCCACATTTCCTATTGATTAAACAAAGACTACACACACACTTCATATTTTATTCAAATAAAGAAATTATATTGCATGTCATTGTGCAGTCAACTTTATTTGACAAATCTAAAGCAAGAGCATACTGAAATACAAATTAGATAAACAGGCATTTCTAATGTGAAATCTCCAGTTTTCATTTGTGTAAAACTTGCAAGAGGAAAGGCGTCACTACCATTTCTGTTTAACTTAGCACAAATTGGAAAAGAAATACATACCTAGTTAATATATTTCAGTGCTCATCATTTAAATGTTTTTGTGATCCCTATTCGCTGTTGATGCAGAGTGAAGCCATAAAGTGCTTACCGCCTCCACCAATTAAAGACCCTGAGTTTTGTGACATATTTTTGCTTTTGCTTTTTATTTTGGAAAAATCACGTCCATTCTAATTTTCAAACAGTAGTAGTAGCAGTTTGCAGTAAAACTAATACAAACTTCACCTAGTTTGTAATGAGTGGATAACTTGTCCCAACTACATTTATGACATAGTAATTCATATGACAGAAATTATTATTGCTACAGTAAAGGCAAAAAAATGTAAGAAGCATGTAGTTAATTCAGAGTGTTGACATTTCATACAGCAAAACAATGAAGAACAGAATTGCATCAATTCATGGTACAGAGCTTGACATTTTAGCTAAAATATTGATACTGTAAAGCTTTTAGCATCACATTCAGGCATATGAGTACCTCTGTTAAGACTTTCAAGAACATTTTCTCAGATGTGGCTTAATTTAGTATAGTGCATCATTCTTTCTTAGATTAATGATTTCTACTATACTGAGTAGTTATTAGATTATAATTGTAAGGCATTACAGAATTTTATCAGGCGTTTGCCAAGATTTCACTGCAAAATTTCATTCATATGTAACACAAATATATCTGTTGACCTAATCTTTACTTCTTCAAATGCGGTATTTTAAGCTTGTAAACTAATAGTGTTAGTCAAATGGGATAAAATCAGGAAATTATATTCTTGCAATGTGTTTTGAAAGTACTTGTATTCACTTTGTAGTCATTAAAACCCCATTAACCAGCTTCTAAGTAAATTAAATATAATGTTGAAGTATTTGTTTTTGCTAAGTTTTAATCTATACTATATGCAACATTTCAGTGTTACATTATACATAATGAAAAAAGCTTGCCTTCTTTTACATAGTACTACTACTATATAATGATTGTATTTTTAAGGACGTAGATGGGGTTCAGTTTAGGAGGATAGTCTTTGAAAGAACTGATTGCTCAAGCAATGATACTAAAAGTCATCATAGTGTAATATGCAATGTAATATATTTTGGTATTACCAAAGATAGTGTCTACCCCAAGTCCTTGCTAAGGAAATTGACTATCACCATTGATTTGATTATGCCTCCCAAGAGGTAGAAATAGCATGGAAGGAAATATTTCTTATAGTCATAAGTCTTAGTGTGAGAAAGGTAAATAGAGACTGTGTGTATACGAAACACTAGTTATATTGGATTTCTCTTAAAGTATCATGCATCCCTTGTTAAAAGTAATATTTAATCCTATATCTGAAATGCACATCTAATATCAGAGAAAATAATCTTTTGGGATTATTCATAAAATGTTTACTCCAATAAACGAGTTCAACATTTCAGAAGTATCCTAACTAAAAAACAAAAACAAAACAAAAGACCCCCAGCAGGGTATGTTTTACAGTGTACTCAATCAGTTTAAACAGATCCATCTTTTAGTTTTCATGTTGCTATTTTGAAGAAAGAGAAGTTATAGGAAAATTTGGTCTGAACAAATGGAGAAATTATCATCTGCAGAGCTAATTCATTCCATTAGATTCATTGCATAGTTAACATGATTAAAAGTTTTGATTAGACTTCACTTGTGGAAAAGCAACAACTGAAGTATTAATGCAGACATTAAAATCTCATCTGAGTTGTAATACTTTAAAATGAATCCTTCATGGCTAGAAAATAAAAAGAAAAAAAGTTATTTCACAAATAATATTTAGTCTCAAATACTGCTATGTATGCATACAGCTATAGGAAATTGTTTAAATGAATATGTGTAAAACAAAAGGAGATGAATTATAATTTGTGGTACTATTTTATATGTATATGTGATGAAATATTATAGACACTAGTCAAGGTGAATGTTTCAGGCGATTTTAAGAAGATATGGAGGATTGTGTAGAGTTCTTCCTTAGTGTCATATTTGGAGGATAAATTTATGCCTCAATATCTGTTAATAAATACTGATATATCATCTCTGATCTTACATTTTGAACTTGGCACCAGTCTCCATAGTCACTTTCATGTTTTCTACTGCACATTTGGAAAGGGGAAAATACTAATGACTACTATTCTGTACATCAGTTTTTCAACTGGTCCCTCACAATGTTGCTAATTCTGGGCACATATGGTTAGTAGCAGCAGTTGTTTATAAAACTTAATTTTAACATCAAATTCTCTTTCAAATTGAAAATCCTATGCAGCCTGCCTCTTGCGGCTTATTTGTTTATTGAAGCATCATCAAATGCATTTACCAGTTAATAACTGACAATAAGTGGTTCTTAACTAAATAATGACATAAGAGAACAATATATTTAACTGCATATTTAAAGGCTAAAATTATGGAATCAGTTCGTGGGTTGCCAAATACTGATTCTTTCTAATACTTTTAGTACTGAGATTGATTGTAGTTAAAAACTTCAGAGCTAGAACCTTCAGATTTTTTTGTTTACTCAGCTTTTTGAGCTTGTTCAAACCAAAAATATTTTGTCACTTAATAGTAACTTCTATTAACCTAACTCTTGAAGTTAATACCTGAACTCTTGAGATTTGTTCAGGAAGTTCTACAGAATACTTTCTTGTTACAAGAAGTCTTTCAAAAATTTGTGGACTATGTGTGTAAAATTATGCATGCTTTTCAATATTGCTGGCATGAGAAAGCAACTGTTCTTTATTTCTCAGTATTTTTCTATTTATCTACTCATCATGCTCAACATATTCATTTAAAGAGATTCATGTAAAATAAACATATACACAAAGTGAACCTGGTATGAACCTTCAAGTGAACCAATTTTGTCAAACTGAGCACATAAACATAACCATCATCTAGATCACAAAAGCAGAACATTCTTATGTTCCAGAATTACTCTCTGGCAATCAATATCCACCTCCTCTGCAAAGAGAGCCATTTCATGGCTTTAGAAACCAACCAAGTATTGTTTTTTTGTGTTGTTGTAAGCCACTCTGTAATTGGAGAATTTTAATGCAACAAAACAAAGTTGTTTATAATCAGATTCTGTTTGGGTTGAGAGCTAGGCATCTCAATCTTTTTTTCTGTGCATTTTATCTGAGGGATCTCATAGTCTCACGAACACTGACAAGGAATAACTATTAGAATCCCTTGCACTAGTTAGGAGTTTATGATTAAATGGTGGTAGTGGTGGGGAGGGGGACAAACACAATAGTATTCTGCTGTGTTAGCAGGGCTTCTCCACACTGCATCTGTCAACATCTTTGGACTGGAAAATTTATTATAGGGCACTGTCCCTCACATTCTATCATGTTTAGCATTATTCTTGGCCTTCATCCACCAGATGCCAAATGATATCCACACTCCTCATTGCTTAGGAAAACCAAAACTATCTGCAAGTGTAGTTAATTGCCATTTAAGGGGAAATTTTCCTTAAAATAAATTCCTGTGCTAAGGAATATGGAAGAACTTCAAAGAATTCATGGGAAATGGAATTCAAAGAAAAATTATTTCAGTATTTGAAAATTTTAAATCTATGACTATGAGGGTACCACAGAAATTTCATGTGAACATGTTGTGAAAAAATGGCATGGATATCAATATTTTGGAATACCATAATTTGTTTTAATTTCTTTTATTCTAAGGGCTTTTCAAAGTCCCCTTATATTTGTTTACCCTTTGATGATTACCACTTTGGAAATTAGTAGGTCGGTATGTAATGTTCTAAGGAGAGTGGCTTTTAATTCTCTAGGGTACTAGTAACATTATTAATTTGGGTGTTGGTTATGAATGATCAGAGGACAAATCTTCATTTATCTGTACATTTATATGCATTGGTTGGTATGTATGCTATATTTCAATAAAATGCTTGAAAAACAAGAAAGCTTTAATGACTTGCCCCCTTAGAAGTGAACTGGATTACTTAGTCATCTTGGAGAATATTGCAAAATACAGTATATAGTATATGTTTTTAAAGGACTATCCAGCAACCTATTTATAAACTATAGGACTCAAAACTGGTGGATGTTATATGCAACACTTCTGTTGTTTCTGAATCCTAAAATAATAATTTTCTTTAGGAATAAGCACCACATTCGAAAATACAAGGCAAAGTCTATTAAAACAGGTGTCTCCCCATTTTTTTGGCTCCCATTCATAATTATCTGTGATGTTTGTTAATTGCTTCAAGAAAAATATCTTACAATGAATGGGATCACATCAATAATTCGAAAATTATTCAGGAATTCAATTCAATTTAATTCAATTCAGGTATTTAATAATTCCTGAAATATGAAAAGAAAGAATACTATAATTTTGCTAATGTTAATATTCCTAGCGTTTAAGGTAAATATAATTGTATCTAATTCATTGTAGTCTAATCAGTTACATTAGCCTATTCATGGGTCTTTGCAAATTTTCTTAATTTCAGTAACATTACATGTATCAGTAATATATATGTATATATAGCAGTAATAGCAACATAGAATGTTGCTATATGTACATACAAATATGTGTGTGTATCTATATATATCGATATAGATCTATACAGATATCAGTAAGAGCAACATAAAAATCCTAAGGGAATAAATTAGTCAATTTTGATATTTTAGCTCAATTTTTAATAAGCAATTAAGATATAGTTAAAATGGAGCTAGATATATCTAATAAAACTTACTGAAGTCCACTTGTCTTCCGTTTTCTCAATCACAATCGTCTGTGTGTCACTACCTGGTGGTATATATTCATAGTCGTCATACAGGAGACCTAGGATTGGATATTGTGTTCTGTACCTATAGACAAGAGAAGAGTTACAGGGTGCATAAGAAAATTATTTGTACTAATTTTTAGTCACTGTTTGGTGCGCCTTATTAAAACTTATTTGACTCTGAAAAACTTGTGTCTCTAATAAGGAAATCGCTTCTCAGTAAACAAAGTTTCACTACCAGTGATCATCAGGAGCCAGGACCAGTATTCCCAGAGAAGCAAAGCAAATCCTAAGAGCCTGCAAGTAGTTAGGTCACTGCCTAGAGAGATATTTTTCTTTTAGTCATATTAAAAGAAGAGAGAAGTCAAGTAAATCCCAGCATCTCTTAGCAAGAAGAGGTAAAAATTAGGATAACACAGACTAGTGTCATTTGAATTTATGGGGCCCAGAATTAGATATCAGAGAACTACACAGATAGAAGTGAGGAGACATGTGGAGGCTGCCTCATGATTGTGAATGCACAGTAGTCAGCTACACATGTAAACTAGCTGCCATGTGCAGTGAAAGAGCCACCAGGGAGAAGCAACCTGGCAATCTTTGGATGTCACGCAGGGATATCAATATTTGTGTTCAGCTAGCCTGTCAGAATGTTAAGACCTCCTAATATAACGGACACAAAAAGAAAACACAGAAGAGTATCCGTTAGTAGTAGTAGAATTAAATTAGCCTTGGATGACACATTGGTAGACTGCAGTTTAAAGCAAGTCTTGCATTTATTACACTGGTTCCCAATAGGTTAACTTCATCTCAGAGCAAATTCCCATTTTGGATAATTCCCCCAATATAGTATTAAACATTGTAAACTCACCATATATGACATCTAGTAAAAAAAAAAAAATGGTAGTCATACAATGAAGCAGAAGCATATGACTAACAGTGAAGAGAAGGATAAATCAGTGGGAATAGATTTTTTAAAATCACACTATTAAAAATGAATAGGCAAAGGTACATTTGTAAGAGAAATATAAAATGTATGCTGCATACTCAAAAAGTTGGAGGGAAGGCAAACACTAGCACAAGGAGGAGGAAAACGGAAGACATAAAGAAGATCCTTTGGACAGGCATTGTTGGCATTCCAGACAAGTTTATATCCTGGTGCTCTACTCATGATCCAGCTCTCTGCTAATGGCCTTAAAAATAGAGTGGAAGGTAGTCCAAGTGTTTGGGTTTCTGCCATCCGTGTGGGAAACCCAGGTGAAGCTGCTGGACTTCAGGCTTCAGCTTGGCCCAGCTCTGGCCACTGTGATCCTATAGAGAATAAACTTGAAGGTGGAAGACTTCTCTGCTTCTCTCTCTCTCCCTCTCTCTATAACTCTGACTTAGAAACAAGCAAATAAGTCTTAAAAAAAAGAGGTCCCTACTGGAATTTGGGACTTCCAATGATGAAATGTATGTTGGATGAGCTTAAGGCACTACAGAATATTAGTACATTTCATTTTATCCATGTAAAAATATGTTATTTTTAAGGTTCCTTATTTAAAATCTTTTATTCATATAACATAAACAGATTTCAAGAATGTAACAATAAAGATATTGCATAGTGATATTCTCACCCTACCCTCCCCCTCCTGCTTGTTTCCCCTTCCTCCCTCTCTCCCTCTCTTCCTCCCTTCTTTCCTTCCTTCCTTCCCTCCTTCCCTCCTTCCTTCCGTCCTTCCTCCCTCCCTCCCTCCCTTCCTTCCTTCCTTCTTTCCTTCCTCCCTCCCTCCCTCCCTCCCTTCTTCCTTCCTTCCTTCCTTCCTCCCTCCCTCCCTTCCTTCCTTCCTTCCTTCTTTCCTTCCTCCCTCCCTCCCTTCCTTCCTTCCTTCCTTCCTTTTAAAATTTTTACATTGCCATACTTTCAGTTCAAGGAATAGTACATTTAAAGACATCAAGGGACATTTCTTAAAGTAAATGACAAAGGGAAAATACTGAAAAAAATATATATATAGAATGGTAATCTGGAAAGCACCAAGTGTCATTTCATATTGAAGTTCTGCAAAATTGGTATTAGACAAAAAAATCTGAATAATTACCAAATTATTCCTTCCAAATTTGACAAAAGAGTTTAAGAACACAAACCCAACAAGCCCATGGAACTTAAGGAGTCTTACCACTATCAAATGGGTGAAAGCCAATGTTTAAGGACCTGAAACAGCCAGAGCCTTTAACATAGTGGTTAAGATTCTAATTAAGATGCCTGTACCCCATATTGCAATGTCTGAGTTCAATATCTAGCTCCATTCATGACATCATCTCCCTGTTTAACCTCATGCAAAACTTATTTCTGGGTTTTCGGTGTTGGCCTTAGCCATGGTCATTGAAGGCATTTGGGGAATAGGGCAGTAGATCAGAGTAGAGAACCTTCTCTTCTCTTCCATTTTGCTTTTCCCCTCTCCCTGCATCTCCTCTCCTGTCTTGTCCTTCTCTCTGTTTCTCTCCCTGAAAAAGAGGGAATCAGACAAAAGAGGGAAGCAGACAAAGGGGGAAAAAAAGAACATGAATCAATGAGGGAAAATGATAAGATTACAACAGACATTCTGTCAGAAACAAAGTCAGAAGACTGGGGAGTGACATTGTCTATATATAGAGAGAATGATGGAGAGAGAGAGAGAGAGAGAGAGGCAGAGAGACAAAGAAACTGTTCTCATTGGCCAGTTTGCTCTCCTAAATTCCTGCAGCTGGAATCATAGCTTGAGGGCCAGGAATTGTAAAGTCAGTCTTGGTTGCCCCTGACCCACATAGATGTAAGGAGCACAAAAACTTGAATCATATACACTGTCTTCCAAGGTTTTACATTAACAGTAAGCTGGAGTCAGGAGCTAGAGATAAGTGTTGAACCAAGGCACTCTGATGTTGACATCCTAAATAATGTTGTAACCACTAGGACAAGCACCCACTCCCATAGTGACATATATAAGTACCTTAAAAAAATCAGCATACTCTTTTTTATAAATCAAAAACAAAGCAGTGTCCTCTTAAACACAGTTTTAGGTCACCATGCTCACCTACATACAGAATTTCAGAGATAGTTCATGTATTTTCAACTGTGTTCTGAGAATGGTAAAATCTTTCTCAGTCCTATTTCATCTTGTGCAGGAGTTGTCATTCCTTTGTACAGTTATCAGATTGCTTCATGTTTAAGTCACTTAGGTAATAGTGAGCTGAAAGTATATGAGTAGGACAGACTGTTGTCCTGTTGGCTTCATGTGGGCTGGATGAGTGGCAAGCCAGGCTGGGTTGACTGTTCCTATTGGTGCATGCATAAATCAGAGTGAGTGTGGGTTGGATGGACTTTGCCACAAAATCAGCTAGCAGATGCTGGCACGACAGTGGGGCCGGGGGGGTGGGAGGGGATGGCAGATTCTGTCAAGTTAAACTGCAGAACCACCTGGAGAGTACAAAATTCGGGAGTGGGAGTGGGCCCAGCAGGGAAACAATGGGTACCTCTGCCTTGAGTTGCCACTCCCGCTGGTGAGCATGAGGACCAGGACTGGGGCAGGCATGAGTAGACTGAGCATGGCAGTACATTGTAGTCTGCAGAGGGACACCTGGTACTACAACAGAGAATAGATGACAAAACAAATCAATCAACTACCCCTAGTCAAATGTTGGCAGTGAATAACTGGACAAATGGAGACTTTAAGGTGGACTATGTCAACCAGTTGATTCTTGAAATATTTCATCATATTGGAGTGGCAAGATAGGCCATTATTCAGGACTGGTGAATTATCAAAACCTCTTGAGCAGGACCCTCAGAGCAGGCCCCACATTGGGAACCCTGGGTTGGTGTCTGGTGGCTGTCCTCCATCCCAGGGTACAGATGTGTTTGGGAGGCTAGGTGTGGCTTCTCCTTATCTTCTCCTTTCCCCCAGATACAGGAAGGAAAAAAAAGAGAATGTGGAAATGGTGATCTCACCCACCTTCCTATAGCCCTTAACACTAACCACCTTAATCAACTATGTAAAAATCATCAAAAATAACACTAATAATTTAAAAAGAAAGAAAAGGAGAAAGTACATGTGTAGTGGTGTTGAAGATTCAAATATGCCAAAGATAAGATGCTAAGAGCTTTCTTTAAATGAAAGAGTAAAAGTTTCAAACTAATCAGGGAAGCCAAAAAATATGTATGCTGAGATTTCCAGGATCTATACTAAGAACAAAAAGGAGAATACATAGTATGTAAAGGGTTCCTTCCTTTGAGCAGTTTTAGGCATTCACTGAGGGTCTTGGAATTTATCCCCTGATGAAAAGACAAGACTACTTATGGAGAACAAGATAAATGCTGTTTACAGATTTAAAAATGAGAAGTCTTCACTATAAGATCAGTATGATACAAAATGTTAAAGAGGGAAAATGATACCAGATAGAAATTTGGATCTGAGCAAAAGTGTCAGTAATTCCAGTAAAGATATTGGGGGGGGGCGTATTTAAAATATTGTTTTCCTTAACTGTTGGTGTTTCTTTAAAAAATTGCTGAAAACCAGAATAAAACATACTCGCAGTATGTGTTAAAGTATATGTATGTGACAAAAGAGAAAAAATACTAGGAAATGGAACTGGGTGTTTATGATCATAAGGTTATGTCACTTGTGATGAGGATATTCTATTAGTTGAAGTTAGACTGGGTTGTTAGAATAATACTGTAACCTAAAACAATCATAAAGAACTATTATAATAATATATCAATAATGTAAAGTATAAACATGAAAAAACAACCCAAAAGGAGACAGGAACAGAGAAAAATAAAATAAGGAATAAATAGAAAATAAATAAAATAGATAGTAACATTAAATCCAAGCATAAAATCATCACCTAAACTGTTTCAGAAAATAAAATAACAGAGAATACATCTTAACTCATTCTATGAAGTTACCATTCATCTGATGGCAAACCAGTTAGATGCATTATGAAAAAAGAAATGTGCATCCCAATAACCATAATTAAGTACCAAATTATTAACAAAATTTTAGTAAATTGAACCCAGAAATATATAAAATGTATACAACATTATAATCTAGTAAAGTTTAATTCAGTAATGAAAGA